TTTCACCGTATTTTTTTTTCAATTGATCTAGTTATATGTTTTGCCAGCGTTTCGGTTAAATAGCTAAAAGATCCATAATGGATGCACAATTTAGAAGATGAAAAACTTGATGTTTATGTATTCGTTGCGGGCTTTTCTGTTTATATTAATAGTTTTTTCTGGTCACTTCAAGTTTTTTTAAATCTATTTAATGTTACAACATGCTCCATATAGTGTCTTGAGTTGCTTACCACTATTGAAAAAAATGTTCATGTGCATATGAATTTTAGAACAATATTTTGATATAAGAGTTGAATTTCAATGAATTTATTTGGTTCGGATGTTAAATTCAATCCCAACTTTCTCCCATTTGTCCGTACGTTATAGTATATTGCAAGGCAAATTTTTAAATTCTATTATTTGCTAGATTGTTCAGTGTTCATGTAGCTTAAAATTATAATAACGTATGGATACAACACATAAAAAAAATCATATCGTGTCTTTGGTTCTCCAGCAAATGAAGCTCGAAATCTTGGAAGCTTGACCGTCATTTGTGAGAAATTTACAGATTGTCGAGCAACTTTTTGACATACACAAGAGTACCATTCACAAGATAACCGCAATAAACAACTCCATTCCATACCCACCATCACCGATGGTATTCTCTCTCGAGGAATGATTTGTAGCCATCTGAAGATAATCCCAACCCGGAAATATATTGGTTTAGAGGACCGCAGCCCTAGACAGATTAGGCCCGAGTCTCCATTACAACGTAACGTATGGATACAACACATAAAAAAAAAGAATCATATCTTGTCTTTGGTTCTACACGAAATATATATATTTCGAGTGAATTTGATATTCACCAGTCTTACAAATCCATACGAATAGATTTTGGTCCACCAATCGTACTTTGATCTTGTTTCTCTTTCTTATTATTGCTCTTTTTCAGTAGCTACAAAGTTTTCTTTTTTTCATGCAAAAGAAAAGCCATTAGAAGTAGCAATCTTTCATCTTGCACTCGGTTATCTGATTACAAACACAAAATATAGAGATCAAAGAAACACAAGCACACAAAAAAAAAATCATTCCACTTAGTAATCACAACATTGATTGAACCGATAACTGGTTATAGTTTTACTCAAGAAGAAAATTCATTCCACTTAGAATATCCAAATAATTTGTTAAGAAGATAAAAATATATGTATGAAACTTGTATAATCTCTATTGAGCTGTGAACTTGTGCTCTATAATTCCCAATGGTCCAGGTTGCAGAATATTTTAGAAGTGACAATGATTGAATGAAATTTAGGTTGTGAAATTAGAACTTTAGAGGATGCTTTGACCTGAGATTTGTGTAGGTTTTGATTGAGTTAATGGTTGCCATAGACTGAGGATTGATTCTCTGATGAATCGATTATACGATACCATCAATGAATCCTTACACCAGAATTTAATATACTTTGATGCATCTCCCTTGCCCAGGAGACGAAACGTTGAGAGAGGTCCCATTTTGCAGATTTTGGTTGCGCCATAGGTTTTGACAATCATGAAAGATAAGATAGAATTGTGACAATGAAACGAGATACAATGCAAAACGGTTTGAATAGTAATAAAAATTCAGTGCATACATATTAGTCACGAATAATATAGAGACACCAACCAAGAGTTTTTATATGTTGTCTCTCTTTTTTTTCATAATAATATGAACAACAGTAACGAATGAGACCAGCCTTTCTTATTTCACTTCACGTAAGTCACAAACCAATCAAGCATCTCCTTGTGAGCTTCTTCTGCAGCTTTAACCGCCTCTGCGTCATCGGTATTGTACCTGACTGTCCAACCGTGTGCGACTTTGGGGTATATCTTCACATAACTATTCACCTATTACAATCCGTTTACTGTTAGTTTCTTTCCTTTCAGCTGTTTCCAATAGATAAAGATAAAAACTGTTGAGTTGCAGAAGCATCTTACTTCAGGTTTGGAAGCTAGTATCTCCTCAAATTGCTTCAAGAGTGCTGGTGGGGACGTGTTATCATTCTCAGCTCCTAATATAGCAATTGGCGCCTTCCCACCTGCGGGAAACCATGAAACCGATCAGAATAATCAAACACTCCGGTAACAGTAAAGCAACTGGATCAATCATAGACTAAGGCCACAATGATTATCTAATCTTTGACGAGATCAATTCCCCAATCTTGAAGGTGAATCTTTAAATGTTACAAAGCATTAGGCGAGGCATGACAATGTGAGGAATCAAGATGGAAGCGTAAAAGATTGAATCACCAAAGTCTTACTTTTGATATCATCAACTGTGACAAAAGAAGGATGAAGCAAAACAGCGGCTTGAATAAGCTCTTGTTTAGACAGTGCCACCACTACTTTTGCTGAAGATCAATGACACACAATAGAGAAAAGAAATATGCATTAGAAAATTCCAGATATTACTAGTATAAGAGACTTAAAGATGAACCACGATATTTTCGGCAACAAGAGAAACAAAGAGACTCACCGCCCCAACACATCCCTGCAGCTCCAATGGCAGTTATACCTTTGCTCTTTATGGCGTCAAGTACTGGCTTTGTGTCTTCAAAGCCCTTATCCTGGTGGAAGATAAAATGAACAGAGTCAGATTGAATTGATCAAAACAACAAACCAAGAAGACATAACACCTAGTGGAACTTGCGAACAACGATTCTACGGTAGAACAAAACTGCTAAGCTGAGAATGGAAAGGGAAAATTGAATAAAGGAGGAGCAACGAACAGCGCCATGGTCTTTGATCCAGACAGTGATTGGTCTCTCCTGATTAGAAGGATTATAAGGATCTCCATAGAAGTAGTCAGGAACCACAACATAGAATCCAGAAGCTGCAACCTTGTCCGCAAGGGCCCTTACACATAACATTAATTAAGAGTTTTAACTCCATAATCATTCATCCTTAGTTGTGGAATGCAATCAAACAATGACTCAAGCAAACAGTGAAACATTCAGATCTTATCAAATAAGATAAAGACTTAAAAGTCAACAACACAGTCAAAGACAAATGATGATATGCTTCATCTTGTCCAAATGCAAAACTAACGTTACCAGAAACAAGTATTGCAGCAAGATACTCAAATTGAGACCCAATTAATAAAGTTTCCGACTTGAATGTTTGAATCGAAGAAAAGGATCATACCTCAAGTTTGGAGCTTCATACCCTGAAGAACAAAAACACGAAGGTCGAGTCAGAATACAGTGATGAAATGATCAAATCAGCAAATAAGAGAAGCCCTAACCACTCGTCAAATCAGAGCAAAGGAGAAGTGATATTCTATTTACCAAAAATATCAGAAATCAGGAGGACGCAGAGCTTGGAATCTGGAGAGCCGGAGACGTAAGCATCGAGACCACCCAGTTTCTCGACATGACCCGACCCGGAAACCGGGTTAAGAGCCGGCGGATTTTCGCAGCACTGAGGTCCCGACATTTGTTGTTCTTCAGAAATCAATCAGAGAGATGAGACAAAACCAAACTCAACCATACGTTTTGTTTTCATTTGTTGTTGTTGTGGCCAAATTTAGTAATGGTTCACGTGGAAAGAATTCTCTCGAAGCATCCATCATCATCTAACGGTCACAAATAGCTCCTCAAGACACAACATCTAACGGTGTGGAATTTGTAATCAATCGATCTCAAATTGTAAAATTAATACACCTGCCTTGAAAGAGATCAAAATGATAAAACACTAATCTATGCATAGGCCCAAGTTGCAGAGTTGAAAGATCCAACAACTCACAAATGGGAACAAACATATATGGTAAAAAAATAAAAATTGAAGACTTAACCATCTTGCTATAAAAGAGTCTTATTTCTTTACAAGATTTGTCTTCATCTTTTTTCATTCCCTCCCTATACATGCTTAGTTAGATTCATCACACTATACTACATCTAGAGAACAAGAAGGAAGCACCACTAAACAAAACAAAAACTAAATGAAACCTGGAAAGAGATCAAAACTTTTTACAAATGAATGATGAATTCGGCTGCATTATCCATTGTTTCGACGCCTCCCATGGAGAGTAATAAAATCGCCAGGTCCTCTTTGCCCCATTGTCTAAGCCCGTTGCTCAGACTCTTCAACACTTCTGTATCGATCTCTGCCACCCAGCGCGGCAAACAGCTCACCATTAGACTCACCAAACCGGAAATATAAGTCCGCCAAGTTGCGATCTCGCATCCCACTGTTATTTTCCGGTCTAAGGCCCTCGCGAGGAACTCCAAGTGGCTCCCCAAGATTCCTTGGCGGCGTTTCGATGCAGATGATCTCGAGTCTACGCCCCAAGCGAATGCTCCACATAGGACCACAAAGTAGGCAAGGGCATGCCCTCTTAGCTCTGCAACTAGATCTGATGGTCCTTGTTCTCGGTCTGACTTGTCCACCGATAGAAACCAAGACGGGATGGTTTCTTTGATGAGTAAGTGGACCACATTTATTCCACCGGTTAGCCATACCAATGAGGCACTAAGCGAAGCAGCAAGCTTTACTTGAGTTATTGCTGTTGCTAGTGAACATTGGCCGTATCTTGATCCGTTCTTAACTGTTTCCAGCTTCTCCTTTGAGAGCCTGTTCTGAGCTATATCCGCCACGGAATGTATCAGGAGAGAGAAAATCTCATCTGTCACAGAGACAGTGTCTCTGAGAGCACGATACATACGGAGATAGAGAATCCCTGGTGCTACTGGAGAGATCCCTCCATAGAAATGAGAGCCAAATCCATGGCCAAGAAGAGCTCCAACACCACCATCATTTGACATGGGGGCAGCATTCAATCCGAGAGTGGCACTGAAGCAGTTTCTGAGGAGCTGAACCACAGCGTCTGGGTTGTGAAGAAAGACCGTGCGAGAAGCAGAGAAAACAAGGAAGTCAAACCAACGTTTCGCCTTTTGGGTCCATAACGAAGCTACAATGGGCATGCAAGGCCAAGGGCAGCCTGCAGCCAAGCACTCCAAAGCTGGGCCAGCCAGGTTGAGGAACCGCTCTGAAGCTTTGTCGATTTTGTAGGTAATGGTTAGACTTACAAAAGCGGCTAAAGGTAAAGGAAGCGTTGCCGGAGAACTCCCTCCTGCTATATTACACGGCAAGAATCAACCATAAGTTCAAAGACAAGTTTAAGAAATCTAGACAGGTAAAGCTTATCATAAAGAGAAAATTGTATAGAGAGGTAAGCCAAACATACAGACTCAGGATTTATACACATTGCATAGTTTTACCTGGAGCAAGGCTAGGGATATCAACTCCTGTTGTTGCGAGAATTTTCTTAATATATTCCTCAACATTGGATAGATTTGTAGCTGGACTTGGCCAGTCCACGCCGTTCATGAATGCTGGCTTCCAAACACCTCTACTCACCTCAGATGAGAAATAGCTTACTATCGTTGCTAATGATCCCGGTAGAAAATCCGCTAAATCTTTCAGCCCTGAAAGAACAACACATGTTATCACATAGACAAAATCTCGTTACTGTAAGAAAAGCCTACGTTGTAGCAACTAATCAACACAGTCAGACATCTCTCATTGGTATTTAAAGTTGCCAAAGGTCATATAGGCAGATGTTATTGCACATGATAACATCATGAGAACTCTTTTCTATCTATTTAGTCACGTATATATGCAAACTGATCCAATAAAACAAAAGAAAGCACGAGACACAAACCTGTTGCTAATTCACGAGGAGAGAGTCTTCCATGAGCACAAGCTGTTAAAGCAGCATCTACAACATATGGAACGGCTTTGAGGATATCCCAAGCAGGTAACTCAGGTCTTGAAATGCTATCTTCACTTGCAGCTCCCGATGAACTGCTTGTGCCCGAATTTACAGGATTTAAACTCTGACTGCCTCTGACCTTTCTGAACATCATGTTGAGAAGTGCTTCAACTGTCTGGTGGACGGGAGATCCATGTGTAAGTCCAGATAATGTGGAAGCTATGCATCTCTGGTGTTGCCTATACCAGATTTTCAGCTTCGGGAACGAGTCAACAAACAAGGGTTGGCAAGATGCTGACCTCGCAACTTCTGAAAGCCTCTTTCGGTTTCGGTCTCTATTAAGGGTCCCCGAGGAAACAAGATGAGAATTACGCACTAGAAGAAGATGTTCGGGAGTGAGTTGGGAGCCAACTGTTGGCACATCTCCTACACCATGCTCAATAGGAGGATGATTGAATCTCCAAAGCTTTAAAAGAAGAGTGAAAGCGTTTGAGAAAACAGAATATGCTGAGATTTCTTCTCCAGAAGGAAGACTCCATGATACACTTGGGGTGTAAGATCCAAACTCTTCACAGATCGGCATTAGTGAGCAAGCAAGTTGCGGAACCTAAAAAGTATTCATCAAAATCCCATATTACCTCTTGCAGAAAAATTTGGTACAAGACCAAGAAACTTGAAGCATAATATACATACCATCCCATGTAAAGAGAATATCTGAATGCTGTCAACAGATCCTATCCCAACAATAACAACATTCAGCATGCAGGCATAACCAATCAAATGACTTTCGGCCCCAGAATAATCTGCTGGAGCGGGTGGGGATAGTAATCTTGTAAGAAATTCAACAGTGTGTTCCTGTACATTGAAGGAATACAGATGAAGCAAACTTGTGTAGTCAAAGCAGTAAATTCAACTGAAATTTACTGGTGGGTTATTGCAAACCTGTATGTTCCAACCCCGTGTGAGAGATGCTCCACAAAGCACTGTAGCAGCAGATATCTTCTCATCATCCGATCCTTTGACTGCGACCTCAAACAATTTCTCGAGCTCTGCTAAGCTTCCATCAAATCCATGAGCTTAAATTTCAGTTGCTTTCAGTAAAAAAATAAAGAGAGCATCTGATTCTACCTGACTTAGAAACAAAAAGGAATAACACGACGAGACAGAACTTAAGTCAAACTAGAATGCAACCATTCTTCTCACTCAGGCAACATTGGATTAAGGAAATGTGTCGTAAAAGCTGTGGTTTCTTTAGGTTAAGACTTCAAAACTTGGCAGCTAACAATTTTCAATATTTATAAATTCCATCTGGATCATGTGTTTGAGAACAGACTATGTGGATGAAGCAGTGTACAGCTATTCGAGCAACAAGAAACCATAAGAAAAAATAATTCACTGTACCTTGAAGCAGGAACTGAAACCAATGCATTCACCATTGCACCATTTAGCGGGGCCCCTTTCACAAAAGATGACCAGCAAGGTACTTCATTCGGGAGACTGTGAGGTATTTGGTTGATTCGGCCATTAACATAGCCAGGCCACGAATAGGCCGAGGTATCCAGTATGTTTCTTGCAATACAAGCCTCAACTATCAGGTGGCGCATGTTTCCAGCTACGAACATAAAGTATGTTAGGCAAGAACGAGACCCATAACATCAACAACAAATGACGACATTCAAGAGACATTCATTATAGAGCATATGATGACAATTTGACAAACATATTGATTTAACTTCAATTTAACAGAGCCGAATTTTGATTAACTTACAGCAGTTGATAGGCATGTCTTTCATGTTTATGACATCAGAACATGCCTTTCCAATATTGCCACCAGACAAAAACAAGATTGCTTTTGTGGCAGCCTTGTTGGCAGCAGAAACAACGCACTGTGGAGGAGCCAGCAAACCAGGGAATTCACCGAGGACCTGTAAACTTGTAATAAGATCATTTCGCAGCTTCTCCATGACAAATGCTATCTCTTCCTCTTCAATAAGGTTTGCAACCACAAGAGGTACAATACATAATGACATGCACAGCCTTGTGTCCAGTCGAGGAATAGGTCCCTCAATAGGATCTCTTTCCTAGCAATAAATAAAGACAAGAAAATCAGAATAGTCGTTGGATAAAAATCTTAATATATCGTGGATGACAGACTAACATACAAATAACAAAGATTTCAATTTAGCCTACTTAACTCAAAAGCAAATGAGTAAAAAAGTCATTTTTAAAACTGCAAGAATGAACTTTAGGTAAAGAAAGTTTCGGGGACTATTGCAGTCAATTTTGGCAGCAATTTGAGCATAAACAAATTATTGAACCAATCACAAAAACACATGGTGTAAGTAAAGCTTGCAAGCAAGAAGAAATGCACTTTATTGATGAAACCACAAACAATAAGAGATTGTCGAACCCTTTGAACAAGTCGGAGAGCTGCTATCCAAAGACCCAAGAAGGTGTCATGCCAAGTGCTCCTATTAATTTCTTTAAGTGTTTTAGCTAGACCTGAAAATTTGATATTCTTGAGTTATTTCATTATCTATCTCCTCTTTAGCAAAAGCCACAAGTGAAGGAATATAGAGTCTGCAATTTACCAGTAATGATTTCAATTGCACTAGTTGGGTTTACTTGATATCCATCCATAGCATCTTCAAATACCAGATCAAGAGGAAGCCAGAGTGAAGAGAGACTTGCTCCATGGCATAAGCCAGCGAAGGAAGCAAGA